TAAGTTGAGAAATTTTGCAAGTATATTAGTAATTATTTTACATTAGACACAACTTGGAACTGTTTTTTTTATTTTTTTTTTTATAGTTTATAAAAAAAATTTATTTAGAAAGCAAAATTATTCAAAAAATCTTTCAATAAATAAATAACTCTAAATATTAATAATGATGATTTAGTGAAATTAAATTATGTATTGATTAGCTGTTTAATTACTGTGTAATCTATTTGATATTTATTATTAATTATTTTTCAGTTAATTTTTTTTTGTTAAATCATTAAATATTCTGGATTTTTGTAAAGTTTTCTATAAACTAACTTTATAATATTTTTTTCCCTTTTTTTCTAGAAACTCCTTTTACTGGCTTCGGGTTAAAGAGGTAAATATTTTGGGAGAGTTCTTAAAGTTTTTTTTATATATTTTTGACATTTTTTCTTACGTAGAAACAGATTTTGATCAATTTTAATCAGTACTGCGCCACATAATTGATGATTGGCAAAATCGGCGGATATGCTGCACATTATAAAATATCGTCTTGTACCAGATCTCTCCTAGTTTTTCCCGGCCTAGCATTTTTTTGCTATATAGACGACATTAACGTTATTTTATTTCTTAAATTATCATTTCTTTTTGTTCTCTTTTACTGTTTTGAATGAAAATAATATTTTTTTTTAAAAGGGTTACTTCCTTCCTCATAAAAATTAAAAAGACGACTTGAAAACAAATGTGGGACCTTTTGAATTTTTTTTTCTATTTGAATTACATTAAGATTGTCTTATGTCTTTTTTATTAATGACAACATATTGGTAAATAATGTGGTGGGTCTTTTGGCATTTTAACCAATATGATTATTTTTGCCTATAGGGATAAGCTTGTCTTACCCATAATCTTTCCACAATTTTTAATAGTAGAAACATAAAAACCCTTTTCCATATTGTACAACCATTCTCCAAAAATGCCTTAACCTCAAAGATATTGACAAATAGACAATTTAAAGAAAACTGGCTTTCCTTTAAAATAATTATTTGGGATTATTGCACGTTTTTTATTATTATTATAAGAAAGTACAAGATGCTAAAAATTTGCAAAGGTAAAATATTACAATCAGAACCAGATAACCTTTGTTTCTTAACAGACAATCACATGTTGAAACTAATCCTTTAGCATTATCTACCATCCAAAAGGCTAATTCTACAGTAAAACCAAAGAAGTCATTTAGCAAATACAAATAAGGAGAGATGGTAATTGAATGGAAACGTGATAAAGATGCGATGGGTAATATATTTGGTGCTGGGCACAAACAAGTATACGTTGTCTAGTTTTCAAATTAATGAAAAAAAAATACATAGATCTTTAGAATAAAAATCAATTACATCAATAAAGAGAATAGAAAAATAAGAAAGAAAAAAAAATTGCAAGTATGTGGGTGACCTGTTAGGATCATTTGGAGTATCACTACACTTTAATGCGTGAATTGCCTCTTGAAATTCGCGTATCCAAGCTCGACAATTTCTCACCGAGATTTCCCGCGTCTAAAGAAAAAGAGAAATGAACAATTAGTATAAATAATCGTTAAAACTAAATAAAAGAAAGTTGAAAAAAAAAATATTTTTTTTTTTACTTGACGGCTTCCATATCCAGAAACTTGAAAAACCACCTAAAAAACAATGAACAGATAGTAACGTTTGTCAAATTAAAATCAAAAATTTTTTTCTGTATTCTATATGTAACTGCCATGCTTTAATGTAATGCCTTGTAATGTCCGGCCTAAAAGTAAGATGAACAGTTAGTAATGGTCGTTAATGTAAAAAAAAATGAGAAAGAATTTTCTACTTGCCGAAAAGAAAATTTCCACGAGTTCAGGCTGTCTAAATCGAAATCTACTTCTTAGAAATTAGCCGTCTAAAAAGCAAAAGAGTTAATTGAAATAAAACAAATTAAAACAAAAAAAAATAAATAATAGTGAATATTACCGGTGAAGATAGAAAAAAAAGGCTCTCTGGGCATGGTATAGAAATTGTTTTCTTCCCCGTACTTCTAAAGTTCAAAGATAATTTTTTATGTATTTCCGAGACTAAGACCTGTTTGAATTCTGCTACAATATTAAATGGTAACTAGTCAAGTTCTTGATTTTGATTATATTTTCATACAATTATCTTATGTCTCGTCAAACCTTTTGAATTTTTGAACCCTTTTCTACAAGTAGAACAGAAAAAATTATTTGGTAATTGAGTGCAAGAAAGCGTTGCTGATGGCATGGTTGCTATTTATGTAGTTTATAAGTTTTTTATGTTTTTAAAAACAAGTGAAAACTGAATATGCAATAGAAATAGTCTGTAATTAAACTTTATGTCCAGCGATAATTATTTTTTACTTGAACGGTATAATGGGTTTTTGACATGAATAATGGGTTTTACCTTTTGCTTTGTTGGTGGTTTTGAGAGGATTATTTACATCATGATCAGGTGGTTTTGTGGTACAAATACTGCAGATCCGCAGATATGAAAAAAAAGGAATCAAAAAAAAAAATATGTACCGAAAAAAATTCTGAAAAAAAAGGACAATAATTCAGTCCAAAAAGACCGAAAAAAAACATTCAAAAAAAAAAATCAATAATTCAGTCTAGAAAAAAAAGACCAAAAAAAAATAATATAAAAAAATGGGTCTTAAAAGACTGTAAGTCTGTAACAATAGGATTATTAATAAAAAAAAAATAATAATAATTTTCAGTTTGGAAAAAAAAACCAAACCGAAAAAGAAAGAGGAAAAAAAATGAAAAATTTTTAAAAAAGAAAAAAATTAAAATTAAAAAAGAAAAAATTTTGGGTTTTAACAGTTAACTATAAACAGGTTAATCCAAATCAAATAAATTAATTATAATCAGGTCATCCAAGTGGTCGGGTCTCTAAAAATAGCAGATTTAAGCTTATCATAAATGGTAAGCATGCTATTTAATATTACCTTTTATGTTTAACCTGCTAGTAATTTTGTCCTACTGATTTTTTTTTTATCAATCTCTTTTTTTAACAAAATTTTTTTTTGATAAAAAATAAATCATTAACTTGACTTCTCAGCGATCAATTTTTTGGTTTTTTTAAACCGAATTTTTTTATTTTTTTAATTTTTAAAATATACTTTTTTCAGTTTTATTAAACCAAATTTTTTAATAATAATATTTTTTTCAGTTTTTAATTATTTTTTATTTTTTTTTCGGTTTTTTAAATTTCAATTTTTTAAAAAAAGGTTTTTGGATTTTTTTTTATTTGTTAGAAATCAGGAACATGGAATCTTATTTAAGACTCGTCTTGAAAGTTAAGTTTCAAAAAGTTTTAAATTTGCTTTTAGAAACTTTATTAAACATTTATTTTTTATATTTTGTAGGAAACGGACTCTTAAAGCTTTGAAAATGATCTAATTATGTAGGATTGATTATGACGTGGTAAATTAAAGAATCAAAGGTTATTTGGTGGCATCTTTCATTCAGATTGAGTCAAATTTTAATCCAGCTTATTTAATCTATTGATATGATCCAAATCCAAAGTCTTTTTTTTTAAGAAAATGTCGTTCCTAGTTATCAAGAATTCTGTTCATATCTGTTTGGAAAGAGTCAGGTTTGTCCCAGTATTATATGGTAGGAGTATTGTTAATTTTACCACAGGAAGAAACTGGGAAGCGGGAGGAAAGAATATTTGAGGGGTGATGGAAGGGAAGGACTGGAGGCAGTCTGATTCAGAGATGTTATCTATAAAGTCTTCATCACATCCTCATTCAATTTCGGCATGAGTGAGGTCGCGAGATGAAGCATCAGGATCTAATTTTTTCTCAATTTGTTTAAGCCTGACTTCATGATTATCTAAACGCGAAACCAAAATAGCAATGAGTTCGGCAATCTGAATATCTTCGATTAAAAGAACAAGACCACTTGTTGGGAAGGGAACTTCAGATTGGTTGGAATTAGTAATTTCATTTTCTTGAATAGGATGTTGACCAGTAACAGATATATAGGAAGTGTTGGGATGTCTATAGGAGTTGAGATCACTGTGATTTTGAACGAGAACGTGAACATAATCCTGTTGACTAACAGATATTACCAGAAGAATTCCTGTTGAAACGGTTATTGCAGGCCTAAATCATCAATAAAGTTTCGCAACTTTGTCATCCAGTTTGTTAATAGGACGTCTTAGGGTAGCGCCACATATATGGAATAAGGGAGTGACTTCATCGGGTTGGTACTCAATGTTTTTTTTGATTTATTTGATTTAATTTACTTGGATTTTTTAATAATTTACTTTCTTTTCTTCTAGACTACAGCTTTATAGGTTGTTTTCTTTAATCAGTGGAATGCGCAAGCCGTCAAGAAAAAAGGAAAAATGGATTTAATAGCCAAGGACGCATCAATTAACTTATTTATAAATTGCTATATCACTATATTAACTATATTACTATAGATTTTAGAGTCAAAAATCTTACTACGTTAAAATGTAAGAGATATAATTCATTTTCAGTGGATTTAAAATGTATTACCACTTAAAGCTGATTCCCAAGTTTGTAAAACCTTTTTTACTTAAATTATTAATACTGTATTTCAAATTTTGCATTATAACCAAATTTCTATAATAACATAGATACATAGTGTTTGTTAATTAATCAATAAACTGAGTTTTTGACAGTTGTATAGCGAACGTTTTCATCACTTTGTTAGACGTTCTATTTCAAATTGACTAATTCACTTTCATTTGGTAGTAAGAAGTAACTTTGGTAAGTTTCTTTCTTTTTTTACTTCTTTCCATCATTTTGTTAGAAATTTATTGCTAATTCTTCCAAGTTTCATTTCAGTTGTACAATACAAAGAAATATGGATATCACTAGAATTTACTTTGGTTGTAATAAGATAACACGTGAAATATATAGTCACACAAGACCATGCAGTCTGGTTGGTAGCACATGTGCAAACATTTATTGGTAGTGAGTTTCGCATCAAAAACATTTTTTCCTTTAGAATAATAACTTTAGACCTCAAGATGCAAAATCTTTCACCTCCAACCACACCTCCAACTACAACTTCAACTACAACTCCAACCATAACTCAAACCACAAATACAAATGAGTATAAGTGTAGTGAATGTCAGAAAATATTCAAAAATAAAGCAGGCCTAACACGCCATAATACCATTATTCGTAAATATAATACTCTTCGAGAGGGGTTACCAGTAGTGCCAACGGATCTTACAAAATTATTCAAGAATGATTTGATTTACTTTATTCATCATTGATTGCCAAGTGGTTTCAAAAATGCTGGAAAGAAATTGGTTTCTATACCATGTAGTGAAAGTCAATTTCATGCAATCTTCGCTAATCATATACATTTTTATTCTAAAAAATCTGGTGTTTATAAATGTTGGTTTCGTGGAAAAGAGGGAGAGGAGAAGTTAAATCAGATATTTGGAAGTACAGATTGGGAAATAAAATATTATAATCAAAATCAGAGAACTTTCATTGTTTTGACGGACAATAATGTATCACATCAAAAAACTGAAACTAATCCCTTAGCATTAGCTACTGCAAAAAAGGCCAATTCTATAATAAAACCCAAAAAGTCACTTAATAAATACAAATACGGAGAGATGTTAGTTGAATGGAAGTGCAGGCATGATAAGGATGCGATGGGTAATATATGTAGTGCTGGGTTCATTTATATCCATTTTTATACAAAACAAGTGTATATTGTTTAGTTTCAATTAATAAAGAATAAAATAGATCTTTTAATTGTTTTGAAATGATAAAATAATTATGTTATCATTAGAGTATTATGTGGGTATTTACAATATTTTATAAAATTTATTAATGATAATAAAGAAATATGATAAAGAAACAAATAGAAATATTGAAACTTAAAATGTAAGAGCTTAGCCAACTGACCATAATACCCGATTCATGAAATAATATTTTTAAGGTGAAATTTAAAAAAATATTATTCTTAAATCTAAGAAAGTTTTTAAACGTTTTATAAATTTTTAAAAAATCACCTTTTTCTAAAGAGGTTATAACCAGTATTTCGTTAAAATTGCCCATTATCTAATTAAAAAGGAGATTTTTTTAAAATAAAAACAAAATTTCTCCAATCTTTATTTTCACATTAAAAGAATTTACTATACCTATAAATAGAGTATTGAAAGAGCTTGTTTTTAAATCCTGAACATTTCTTTTCTTAATTATACTTTTATTTAAAAAAATGTAAGTAATAATAAGAAATAATAAAGAGCAAAGTAAAAAATTATTGTTCAGTATTGTTCAGTATCAAAAAAAAATTGTTTTTAATATTTACCCATTGTTATCCAAATAATTCAAGTTAATTAATAATTGTATGTGTTATAATTTATTTTATATTAGGCAATTAATTTTTAAAGAATAATAAGGTTGACCGTTGACGACGTTGACGACTGAATTTCATCATTAAAAAAAAAATAGTAAAAAAAAATATATAAATAGAATTTATCATGTATACTTTCCAAATTTAGATACATTGTATACGTGACGTTTAATTGTCACATGATCACATAACAGAAAAAACGCGTTTTTTATATTTTATCTTTAAGTGAAATCATATTTGTCACCTCTTATTATTTGTCACTACACAATACGTTTAACTTGATAAATAAAAAAAAAATGAATGGAAAAGAATTTTCCAATTATCCTAATGATTTAAATATTACATGGAAAGATAATAAGCGTACTTTTCATTATAAAATAATGAAAGCAGGTACATATCCTAAAGAACATATATTATGTAAAACCAAAAAACCACATTCATATTTAATTCCACATAATTATGTAATTCAAACAACTTGAAATTGAAATGCATGTACAGTTCAATGTTCAATAAATTATGTTAATGATAAACCTATATATATAATAGCATTTGGAAATAATTTTTCTAATCAAGTTGTCTCAAGTAAATCTTCTTCAGACGTCACAACATTATTTCACAAAGTAAGTATATATTGTAATATTACATATTACCATTTTTCGATCTAGTAAATAAAACTTTTATATAATTTTAAAGCAAGTCAATCCAGAAAGTAATATACGAACTTCAGGAGTAATTTTTTTTGGATTACATTGGAATCTGTACATCAGTATTGTATTAAGCTACCTAAAAAATGTACTTTAAAAATAGTGAATGAAGCTTCTCATTCAATTCTTACTAAAAGAGCTAAATCTATGACCAAGCAAGTATTTAATGACTTTACAAATATTTCCAAACAATATTATAATCCTGAAGATAAACCTCTTTTGAAAGAAGTTTAATTTTCTGTAAATGATTTTAAATTTAAAATAAGAATTGGAGATGAAGATGTGGCAGTAAAAAAATATAAAAGTGAAGCAATGATGATGGCAATTGATAATGGCCAGATTTCGCGTGATGCGTATAGAGATTTAACAACAATTGAAGAGGAACTACCACGTGAATGGATTATTGCTGAGAAATGAAAAGAAATTAATAATAAAATGAACAATAAAATCAAAATTAATATAGTTGAAATGCCACAATATATAGATTCAGATTCTAACGAAACTCCTGATATCTTTAATCCAGAAGTAATTGATGAAGTAACTACTTCAATTAGTAAAGGTGCTCAAAGAAGTATAAAAGATATATTGAAATTTATAGTACCAAATTTAGTAAAAAGAAATATTCTTAATCCCCAACAGCCAATTGTTAATATAAGAATCTCAGGAGATGGTAGAAATGTTGGAAAGAAAGTTAAACATGACATGATTACTTTTGCGATTTTAGATGATATTGATAATATACATAATCCAAACTATCATCATACTGTTGTATTATATCCTGGATCAGAAAATTATGAATCGTTAGATATGTTAATGATCCCATTCCGAAATGAGTTACATGAATTAACAGAAATAGGATTAATTATTGGAGGAATTAATTGGATATTTAATCTTTATTTTAGCTCTGATTGGAAGTTTCTCACAATTTGCTTAGGGTTTAACTCCGCAAATAGCTTATTTTTTTGCCCATGGTGCCTTATCTCAAAAAAAGAAATGTCAAATGTTAATAAAGAGTGGTCAATATCAAAACAAATGGATTGTATAAATATATATAATGGTCATCATTCAGTACCATTATTTAATATGATACCATTAGATCATTGGATTCCTGATGAACTACATATAATGTTACGTATAACAGATAGACTTTGGAATCTGGTATTACATGAAATTCAAGAAACTGGTTATTTTAATGATGTTGCTAGAGAGATTATTGTTAAAGAAATGAATAGAATTAAAGTAAATTTTCATTTCTGGCAAGAAAAAGGATGCCAAACTTGGAGTTTTACTTCGCTCATGGGACAAGACAAATTAAAAGTATTACAATTTTTTGATCTTAGCACAATTTTACCACCAACACGTGCAAGAGCAATTAGAATGTTATGGGATGGATTTTATGATTTATATATGGATATACGTAATCCAGCTACTAATCCCAAAACATTTAAAAGAAATGCAAAGATGTGGTTAAAAATTTTTCTTACACCATCTACTGGAGTACCAAATAGTGATGATTTTGTTCAGGGTTTATATAGACCAAACGATATTACACCATACATACACGTTCTTGTTTTTCATATTCATGAGTTTATGGAGAAGCATAAAAAATGGGGATTAAAATCTTTCTCATGTGCGGCAGTTGAAAACAAAAATCATCAACAAGTATCTCAATTTTTTCGGAAAACTCTAAGAGATGAAGGTAATGGTGCAAATCGAAAATCAGCAATTGTTCAAATCCTTGAATTTGAAAATAGAAAGCTTCACTACAATATTAATGATTCTCAAGTTACTCCAAAAATGATAAAACTTCAAGTTTAAAACATTTATATGTATATAATTAAATTTTATTAAAGGTGAAACAGCTACTACGGTAATTTTAAACATACAATAAATACATTAATTATAGCTAGCGGTTGGATTACATAAACTGTATGATCACGAGACCCTGATCAGATCCAAATTATCCCTTTGACAAACTGATTCTTTTTTCCTAAAAAAAAAGGAAAGAATCATTAGTTCGTTTCTTTAAAATAACGTTAAAAAATCCTCCTCTCTCCAATTTACTTTCCGATATTCCAGAAAGTCCACATTCCTAAAAAAAAATATTCTATTTAAAAAAAGCCAAGTCTCCTATATATTATCTTCAGAAGACCATTCCAAAATATCTAGAATCTTACTGAACTTGCTGACTTAGAGTTCTTTTCCGTTCTTTAAAAGTCCATTAAACCCCTATAAAAAAACAAGAACGGTTAGAACGGTTAATAAATTGTTCTATAATATTAAAAAAAACTAAGATTCGTAATACTTACGAATCTTGGTTCTTTTTCATTCTTTGAAAGCCCACCCGAAACTTAGTATTTGCTGATGACCTTTCAACAGTCGTAACTAAAATCATTTATATTAAATAATGGCGTTAAGTATTTCTCAGCAGCAGTTGTAGCAGTATCGTCAACGCCAGCATCAACGTGATCAAAAATTTATTTTTTATCATATCGGAAGTCTAAAAGATAAATTAAAAAAATAATTAAAATTAAAAAATAATAAAAAAATTCTTCTATATTCCATTACCTTCAAGCGCCCATTTAAAAATCTCTAAGATCCTACCAAACTTGATGACTTGATAAAAAAAAGAAAGATAAATTAAAAAAAATTTTTTTAATTAAAATTAAATAAAAAAACTAACTTTTTATATATTTCTAAAGCAGCTGAACTTGTCACTCTGAAAACAATCTGCAAAACCATAGTCTAGAAAAAAAAAAGTAAGTTAATAAAACTAGACTAAATCAAATAAATAAAATAAAATAATTTACTTAAATCACCCGTAGAACTTGCCCAAAGCAGCCCGCCAAAGTTTTTTTCTAAAAAAACGATCATATCAATAGATTAAATAAAACTGGATTGGGATTTGACTCAATCCAAAAGATGCCGCCAAAATATCCTAATTTAATCAATCCTACATAATTCAATATACATAATATATAATTCTTGTAGAACACCATCTTTAAAATAAATAGACCTTATCAGTTATACACGAACAATCAAATTAATTCCTTTCCCATTAATTACCCAACTTTAAGTATTGCTTTTTTAATATCAGCTTTTTCAATGTTATTGTAAGAAGCAATTTTTCAAGTAATAAAGACAGCTACGGAAGCATTTAATGTAAAAATATTACTGCACTTGCTTGCAAAAATTCTTTAGTTTGCCAAGCTTGAAGGGAAAAGTTTTTTTTTATTATCGTGACTTTTTTTTTGTTAATTATGCATCATTTGATCATGTAACACATGCAATCTGCGTTTGTAAAACTTGAATTTACGTTTTTAAATTTTTTTTTTTTTTTAATTTTAGGGTTAAATTCTGGGAATCGGCGGATATGGGGAATCGGTTATAACGAATCCCATAGGTGAGTTCTGAAAAATAATTTTTTGAAACTCATTTTTTTTTATTATTCAATTGTAGGGAATCAGTTATAACGAATCCCATAGGTGAGTTTCGAAAAATTCTTTTTCGAAACTATTAAAAAACGTTTTTAACATTTTTTTTCTAATATACTATTATATGAATCGGTTACAATGAATCCCATAGGTGAGTTTCAAAAAATTTTTTTGAAACTCTTTTTTTTAATATACAATTATAGGGAATCGGTTATAATGAATCCCATAGATTAGTTTCGAAAAATAATTTTTTGAAACTATTAAAAAACGTTTTTAACGTTTTTTTTTATTATTCAAATATAGGGAATCGGTTACAACGAATCCCATAGGTTAGTTTTGAAAAATAATTTTTCAAAACTATTAAAAACTGTTTTAACATTTTTTTAAAACGTTTTTTTTAATATTCAATTATAGAGACGAATCCCATAGGTAAGTTTCGAAAAATAATTTTTTGAAACAATTAAAAAAATGTTAACGTTTTTTTTTAATTCTTTTATAGGAAATCGGTATAACGAATCCCATAGGTAAGTTTCAAAAAATATATTTTCAAAACTATTAAAAAAATGGTTTTAACATTTTTTTTTAAATGTTCTATTATAGGGAATTGGTATAACGAATCCCATAGAATCCCATAAGTAATAAGTTTCGGAAATTTTTTTTCAAAACTATTAAAAAAACGGTAATAAACGTTTTTTTATTATTCTATTATAGGAAATCGGCTCTGATAGATGTATATACCAGAATCCCATAAGTAAGTTTTAACTTTTGAAACTTTTTTTAAAAACTTTCTTTAATGTTTTTTTATTTCTTTTGTAGGGAATTTGCTCCAACCTGAATACCGGATTCCAGATAAAATTTCAGTATTAGTAGTATTTCTGATTTTGTATTTTTAATAATTAATAAATTTAAATTATTAAATGTAATTATTGTAAAATATCAAATAAATTTAAATAAAAATGTATGCAATCTGCAGATTTCTTATTGTTATAAATTTATCAAAAAGTTATCAATCGGTATACTGATATGTCAAATAGTAAATATCCAGTAAATATTCTATTGGTAACTATTAATACCCGATTATACTCTATTGAATATCCAGGACCCCGAAAAATACATAAAAAGGTCACATTTGAGTTTGCTTAAAAAGAACCAAAATTTTCATGAAAATCTTGCCTTTTTTAGATAGTGCCGGCCTAAATTTTATTGTCCGTTTTGATACTGGCCAGCATTATCATAATTCCGGCCCTGAAAAGTTGCTTATTTTAGGCCAAAATCTTGCCGATCATTTATGACCTCCATATGTATTTTTCGGGGTCCTA